ACATGACCCACAGAACTACACGTGACCTATAGAATTATACGTGACCCACAGAACTACACGTGACCCACAGAACTACACATGACCTATAGAATTACACGTGACCCACAGAACTACACATGACCTATAGAATTATACGTGACCCACAGAACTACACATGACCTATAGAATTATACGTGACCCACAGAACTACACGTGACCCACAGAACTACACGTGACCCACAGAACTACACGTGACCGAGCAACTCCATGCCAGGCACAGACCCCAAAGGAACTGCGAGGTGCTCAGACGAGCGCTTTACACAGGTGCTCACTCCCAGCAGCCAAAAGGCAGATGCACCCGAACGCCCCCGCCACGGGAAGGCATGGCCACGGTGTGGGTGCTGCTCGCAGTGGAATATCACTCGGCCACGAAACGGCGGTGGAGCGGGACCTGCCCCGTGGTGAACCTTGGGACACGGTGCCGAGGGGAAGCAGCAGGGCCCCATGTTGCGTGATTCTCTTTATCCGAAACATCCAGGGCCGGCCCATCCACACAGCAAGCAGATGGGGGGCTGCAGGGGAAGGAGGGGCGTGACTGTCTAACAGGTGGGTTTGCTCCTGGGCGGATGAGAATGTTCTGGAACCAGAGAGGGTGCACAGCGCTGGGCATGTGTTGGAGTCGTACATGTTAAGATGGTGTGTAAAACGGTAACTTCGCATGACGTGTGTTTACAATAAAAACGAGTGGGGGAGCAGGCGGAACTCCCAGCCGTGGGTCCCGAGCCGCCCCCGTGTCAACCGATCACCCCCCAACCGTTTCCCGGGTCTGTCCTTCAGGGAAGAAGCTGGGGGCGAGCAGGTGGAACTCCCAGCCGTGGGTCCCGAGCCGCCCCCGTGTCAACCGATCACCCCCCAACCGTTTCCCGGGTCTGTCCTTCAGGGAAGAAGCTGGGGGCGAGCAGGTGGAACTCCCAGCCGTGGGTCCCGAGCCGCCCCCGTGTCACCCGATTGCCCCCACGCGTTAAGTGTTTGCCGGTCTCTCCTTCAGGGAAGAAGCTGGGGTTCACCATCGACAATGGGAAGCTCCACAACGTGTCGCTGGGGCAGGGGCAGGAGGTGGTGGCCGAGCACGCCCTGGACGTGGCTGCGGAGATGGGGCACTGGGTCATCCTGCAGGTGTGGAGCTGCCTCGGGGTGCGGACACCCCCCGGGGGGCCTGGGGGGCCAGCGGGCGGCTGAGCGTCAGGGGGCTCAGGGGACAGCGGGACCTCCAGGGGTGAGACATGGGCTTCAGGCCTGAGACCCAAAGGAGATGTCCTCAGAACACGAAACACTAGTGACCAAGCGCCCTCCTCCCCAGGGAGGCTGCACGTCCCGTCCTGGGGGAACCCCAGCTCACACACGCTGAACCCCAGCACGCCCTGCCCCGTCCTGGGCCCTGCAGCCTCCCAGCCCCCCT